TCTTCTTCTCTCTTTTTTTCTTCAATATTCACAATATCACCTCTTTTACAGCATGGACTCAACTTTTCTGTCTCAATAGAATTAAAAATAATTCTTTTTCTGTTCTAATAGGACTACAATTATAATTTTTCTCCTAATTATTACAATTACATACTTATCATAAATACAATTTTTCATAATTTACTTCATTATTAGTATTTTTTATAAATATTGTTGTTTGATAGAATTAGTCCTTTATATTTAATAAAAATTTAAAATATTTGTTGAATCTAAAAGACTCACTTTTAACAATTAGTCCTTTATATTCATATTTTTTAAATTTTAAAAAAGTAATAAGTTTATAATTATATCCGTAAATGCTTGACCTTGGAATGATTCTAGAAAAGAAAGATATGAATACTTTTATCCCTATATAAGTTATACATAGACTTTAAGCGCATGATAATAAAAATGATAATACTTTTGGTTTTGTCCTTCAAAGATATAATGTTTTTTATTAATAGATATGATATAGTGAATATGTTCCTTCGTTAATTAGATATCTGATTTTTAGATTAAAAAGTTTATGCCAAAAAATACTATTATGACCATGAATCCTGTTCAACTAAATTTAAATTGATTAGATTTTAATACAAATACTAACATCCAATAAAAAAAAAGACAAACCACATGAACACATTTCAAATTATTTATTATGTCATGCTATTCCCGTCGTTTTTCTCCCATTACCAATTTCAAGTCAAATAGGAAAAGAAGGCTATGTCAAAGGAAGAAAATTTTGACTTTTTTTTTGAAATTTGACTTTCTTTCTTAAAAAGGGGCTGTGCTTCATGCCATTTATGATTTATTGAATGTTACTCTTTTGTGGTAACAACCAAATAAGCTAATAAAGTTGTTTCTTTCCTAATTAGATATTTCGAATGTTAAAGAAATTTTCATTTTGAATTTTAAATATGTTGTTGTTGTTATTATTATTATTATTCCTGCATTTTCTTTTTGACTTTATAAAACTTGATAATAATTCAGCATTCAACATGCCCATATTAATTAATTATTACTCGTCTAACATTGAAAATTGCATGAAACTAAATAATGTTGGAGGTCAAGTGTATTCATTTATCATGATATATTATTTCTAATAAGTATTAGAGATTATTAGCAACTTGTAATAACAATGCAGAGTAATTTAATTATCATTTTGATACGAGCTATCATCAAGCAACTAATTATACGTAAGCAAATATTAATGTTTCATACTCATACATGTTCTTTTTTATTCATGAATTAATATGCCTATCAAATTGGTAAAAAGAAAGAAAGGAAGAAATAAAAAAATAGAAAATTCGATTTCTAGATATATTCTTATTGGTGGATGCAACTCTTTGGCACAAGTTCTTTCATTTCAAATTCAAAGACTTTCAACGTGGAACATAATTATATGTGCGCGTTAGCATGAAAACATATTAAAATTTTAATAAATATTATTTGAATACGTATGTATAATAATTCAACACACACACACATATATATATATCGTTTGTTATTGGTATTATTGTTGTTATTTTTGTTGACTTGTTTTATATAAGAATTAAGAGTGTCTATCGTTTGGTCAGTTAAAACTTGATTCTAATCGATTAAATAATTGTTAATTAAAATTTGATTCAACCGAATAAATAAATCATTAGAATCTTTCTCTTCTAAACACAATTGAGACCAACATTTGTGATAGTATTGAAAGATTAAACAACTTCACTGGTAAGTCTAAGGAAGCTTGAACAATAATAAATGGTCTTGTGAATTTATAAAATTAATTTAAAATTATGTTAGAGATTTGTTGGATTTGTGTTTATCAAAATAGTATTAAATTAATTTAGTTTTGACCAAAAATTGAACCGTTAACACCCCTTCATTGTATATGAATAATAATTCACTTAACTAAAGGGGTGGGTCTAGTATGGACGAACATATTTTTCAATTTTCTTATATTTGTTATCAAATTATTTTGAAAAATATTTTAAAATTCCTCATAAATGAAAAAAAATGATTTTCATTATAAAAGCACGATTTTTTTTTTATAAATAATATTTCTAATTTATTATAGCATCCCTACTCATCCAACTCGTCCTAATTCCAATGTCAACAATTAGGAATAGTAAGAAACAAATTTAATTTGAAATTTGGTCCAATGCGTTTGTAGTTTTTAAGTGGAAAAAGTTTCACCTTTTGAATTTCAATATTAATTATTTGAGCAAAAGCTCATTTTGAAATGGTCTTATAACTAACGTTATGTATTAAGATTCTATTAGTATAGTTTAATATTAAGTAAGTATATATTGTATTTGGAGAAAAAGACTTGACTCATTCTCTGGCGTGGAGAGTCCAATTTATGTGCGTAGTCATGACAACAAGATATATTATTATAAGATTTAGAGATTATTAATACTTTTGAACTATTATCATCACCTAGATACGAAAAAGGAAATAATCAATAGTTAAAATATATTTTAATACATAGATGAAAACAATTCAAGTAGTAAAAGAAAAAAAATTTGATAGTTAAAATATGAAACTCAGAAAATAATTAAAACAATTCAAAATATACTTTTGACTGCTATCTCTTATTACATATAACATATAGTACCAAAGAACCAATAATGTGGGAAATATAATATGGAATTGTTTAACAATAGAACCAAAACGATTTGAGGTGAAAATATTTTCTGGGGAAGTTGCTTATTCGGAATACTTTTTAAATTTAACCAATGGTACGTAATATTTGACCATGAGAGTCAAATGTCAATCAAGACTTTTTATCACTTGTGCTGGAGTATTTTAATTAATCTAATACTACTATTTTCTTATTAATTTGTTTTTAAAATATATGTTTTTAATATTTAAGGGTGTGCTAAAACCAAAAGGGATAATATGTCATGTTATTACTGAATGTTGTATACTGAATTTTTTATTAGCCGTCATGTTTTCTTCTTTGTTCCTTTTTCTTTTTTAATTTTGTTATACTTGAATCGAAGATCCTTAATAAACAATTTTTTTACCTCCATAAAATAGAAATAAAATTTGTATACATTCTATGCTCTTCAGACCTCAATAATATCGTTGTTATTGTTGGATTATGCTATGCCTTGTGTTAGGTAAAGTGTCGTTAAATAGAAAAAGGCCGGCCTGCCGGTTAATTTCGATGAGATCACTTTCTCATTTTTTAACAAAGTTGTAGTAGCTTTTTATGCAATTATCCCAGCAAGAAACAGCTGCGGCAATTTATTTATTTTTGAAAAAAAAATTCTTTCAAACATTCCACATTATAATTCACAATTTGGTTATTTATTTATTATTTAAGTCAGAAATACTTTCAGCTGATCAATATATACAACGACTTACATAAAAAATAATAATCAAATAAAAAAAAAAGACAAAAGAATTTGTAACAAATTACAATTCAAATAAGTTTTTAGGTTCAATTTTGAATAATTAATCAAGTTGGATATTTCAATTTTTGGTTGACTTTTAACCCTTTAAGATACGCTTATTAAGAAGGACAGTAATTTCCGAGAACAAAGTAACTTTCTTTTACCACCAATCACAAATCATCTACTATTTTCATATTCGTTGTCATTTTTAGGAGAAACGAAAGTCACCAAATTAATGTATAACGAGTACTCCAGCCGTCCCATATTATAAGTCATTCTTTTCTAAAAATAATTGAACCACAATATATGTCATTTTATAAAATTTATGCATAAATTATCATATTTTACCCATTATACTCTTGATTGATTAATTAATTAATCTTGAAAATGTAACCTAGGAAATCTACAAGTAATTAATTTTATTGGGAGAGTACTTCCTTCATTAATTAACTATTTTCTTTATTCACTACTTATTCTATAAAATCTGATTTTGAAAAAAAATATCAACAAACAAATTAAAAATAAAAAATGAAAAAAAATTCAAAAATAATCTTGAAAGTTGAAGCTTCAACAGATTTTATCAAGGAAGATGACATTTCAAAAAGTTCAAAAGATGCAAAAATAGAAGGCTCAACCAAAACATGTGAAGGCCAAATTGAGAAAAATCAAGATCCAAATAAAGGAGTTATGCACCATTTAAATAAAAAAACAAATGATTTATCGAACTAGAACTAAAATTCATTTGTCGTCTAATTTCATTATCAATAACATCAGATTCAGCAGGAAAATTTAGATCAATTTGAATTAATGGAATTTGAATATTTTGTGATGTTGTCATGTTTGCCTTAAGAATTTATATATAAAAATATAAAAAACGTTTTACACAAAATATATAGAAAAATTGAGGTGGGAAAAACTTGATTTTCTAAAATTTTTGGATCAATTGGTAAAAAAAATTGGCTCCAAAAAGTAAAATTTAAATAGTCATCCAAATCATTTATATTTTTGAAATCTAACATTTCTCATTTATTACAAAGTTGTCATAAGCAAACATTAAATAAGGGCATAAGGGTAAATTTACCTTATTTCCTTGAAGCAAGTGCAAATGGAAAAGGTGACTTATATTATGGGATGGAGAGAGTAGTTTTTAAGAAAATGAGAAATGAGATTACGAAGTGAGAAATTAAATTCTCACCAATCAGCAATAACATTAGAATTCAGAAAATCAACTAATTGAGCTACTAAATTTTTCCATAAAACGAGTAGGGTACTTTGGACCTTTGAGTTAGCCAAACTATGGCAAACCCCTATATGGCTATATCAAAGTACGCAAGTGGAAGAGCTTTGTGACCTTCGCTAAAAAGGCCACTTCGATTACCTCGACAGTTGAATAAATCGAAAACACAAAAAGTCGCACCGCGTCACTTCAATTTTTTCAACCATTTCTATGTCAATTATTATTAGCCTTCCCTTCTATAAATACCCCATTCTCTTTCAAATCCTAATTAAGCTCCTTCACCAAATAAAAAGACAAAACTTGCCTATTCTCTCTTTTGAAAACTCGAAATCTTTGATTACGAAATAAACAATGAGAACCGGACATTTCTCTCCATCGCGGCCTAGTTCACCTTTACATTCTTCTACTACTTCTAACGACTCCCCTTCACGTCATACCTTTTCCCAAACTTTAATGGAGGATACAATTAACGAAGCTGGAGTAATCATAAAAAAATGGGATCTGGATACTTCCTCGTCTACTTCATACAATAGAGTCGCTAATCTTTTCAGAGATTATCGCGAAGAAGCACTAAAATTTCTGGATGCTGTTACCAACTTGCAACATGGTATGCATTTCGTTATTAAAGAGTGTTCCAGCTCGGAACTTCTTGTTCAGGCTCAAAATCTCATGCAAATTGCAATGAAGAGACTTCAAAAGGAAATGTACACCATTTTATCAGGGAATCGCTATTTCCTAGACTCTGAAACTCTGTCAACTCGATCCTCAAGACAATCAACACGGTCCAGTGTTTCCGATGAGGATGAACATGAGGATGAGATAACTAATACCGAGGTATCACCTCGAGCTTCTGAGGTTGAGATAGTTTCTGAACTTGTGATGGCGAATTTGAAAGCTATAGCAGATTGTATGATTGGTGCTGGTTATGGAAAAGAGTGCGTTAAGATTTATAATCTCAATCGAAAATCAGTGATCGATGAAACGTTGTATTATTTGGGCGTTGAAAAGTTAACCTCCTCACAAATTCAGAAAATGGATTGGGAAATGTTGGAGAAGAAGACGAAGAATTGGTTAGGTTCTGTGAAAATAGCAGTGAGTACTCTGTTCCATGGCGAGAAGATTCTGTGCGATCATGTTTTCTCCGCCTCTGATGCAATAAAAGAAACTTGTTTCTCCGAAATTGCTAGAGAAAGTGCTATCACTCTTTTTGCATTCCCAGAAATGGTAGCAAAGTATAAGAAATTATCTCTTGAGAAAATGTTCACTGTGCTCGATCTCTACAACTCAATTTCCGAGCTATGGGATGAAATCGAGTTGATTTTCAGCTTCAGTTCGTTTGAGATTGTTAAATCTCAGGCGATGGCGTCACTGGTGAAACTCGGGGAAGCCGCTCGATTAATGCTTTCGGAGTTCGAATCGGCGATTCAGAAAGATACATCGAAAGCAAAGGCGGGAGGCGGTGTCCATCCTCTAACCCGCTACGTCATGAACTACCTCGTTTTCCTCGGCGATTACAGCGGTGCTTTTGCCGAAATCATCGGGGATTTGCCGCTTTCAGTTCAATCGCCGTTGCCGGAATCTTACTTCATGAGTCCAATTCCCGACGAAGATGACTCACCGTCCTCCGCCGTCTCCGTCAGGCTAGCGTGGCTCGTCCTCATCCTCCTCTGTAAACTCGACGGAAAAGCTCAGCTCTATAAGGACGTTTCGTTATCCTATCTGTTCTTAGCGAACAACTTAAACTACGTCGTTTCGAAGGTGAAGAAATCAAATCTGAAGTTTCTACTTGGATCAGATTGGTTATCAAAGCACGAAATGAAGATTAGACAGTACATATCAAACTACGAGAGGATGGGATGGAACAAAGTGCTGACGTCATTGCCGGAGAATTCAACGGCGGAGATGTCTTCGCCGGAAGCAAGAGAATGGTTTTTCAAATTCAATTCGGGTTTTGAAGAAGCACACCGAGTACAGAGTTCATGGGTTATACCCGACCCGAAACTCCGAGACGAAGTTAAGATATCATTGTCTAGAAAGATTGTTTCGGGTTATCGGATCTTTTACGAGAAGTACAGGGAATCACTGAGAAGTGGCGGAGTGAAGTCGGTTGTCAGATTTGCCCCTGACGATTTGCAAAATTACTTGTCGGATTTATTCTATGGCACTGGGCAGTCGGAGCAAGGGACGACGGCGTACGGCTCAGCTTCGCCGTCGGTATCAATTTCAACGGCGTCATCTCCGTCACATGGCCGCTAAAAATTAACGGAAGATATTGTGTATAAGCAAAAACATATTTTTCTTTAATTATTTTGTATAATAGAATTTTGTGACTGATTACAGGAGAATCTTATTCTTTTATTTGAATGAAAATGAAACACTTTGTGCATAATTTTTTGTTTATATTCATTATTAACTATAATTATTTTTCAAATCATTTATGAATTTATCATTCTATTATAGTCCTTTAAAAAATGTATCAAGTTAATATTTACTTCGTTCTATATTATTTGTTTACTTTAATCTTTACACATCTCTAAATAAATCATAAATAAAGAGAATAATTTTTACTATTGTCCTTTTAATACATTCTATTTATATGTCTTGTTGTGAATTGAAGCATAATATTTATTGCTTTCAAGAAAAAATAATTTTACAAATAAAATGAAAAATATTTAATTAATTTATTCTAATTTTATAAATTATTTTCTATGTCTCATATTAGATAAACATCTTACTAAAAATACTTATATCATATTACTTGATGAGTTACTAAATTAGGATATAAATTAATTATTTTTTCTATTTTACCCCTACAATATAGGCTATAGCCTTTGGAAGTTTAAACAAATTTTGAAGATCTAAAATTTCTTTTTTCAAGAGACTAATTAATATGAATAAAGAGTAAAATAATAAAGGTAATTAATTTATTAATAATTTCTTAATTATCATGTAAAATAGAAAGTACCTACTCCCTCTGTCCCTAATTACTTGTCCACTTTTGAATTGACACACATATTAAAAAACAATAATTGACATAGTAAATTTACCATTTTACCCCTATTAATTATGAAGTGGATGAATTAAAAACTTAAGATTTTCAAGAAGTTCTACCCTTTTTAAAGTAATTAATTGAGGGTATAATATATAAAATAAAATTATCTTTTCTTGATTTGTCAAAATGAACAAGTAATTAGGGACAACTAAAAAAAGAAATATAGACAAATAATTAGGGACAGAGGGAGTATCTAATATGAGACAGCGGAGTAATACTTAAATAATTTGTACTACTTTTAATAATCCAAATAAATAATTACAGAGAATAAATTTGGATGTTCACTTTGATTAAAATGCTGGCATTTTATGCATGGAGTTGACAAATTCCAACAAAAAGTAAGAAAAGGTCACCCAACTCCTGCCTCAATAATAAATGGAGCTTAATACATTTGGTCCCTACTCTTTGGTTATTATCTGTTTACTTTAAGAAAAAAAAAAATGTTTGTCCATCAATAGTTGGTATAAAGTTGATTTAGAAATAAAGAAATTAATAGTTGCTATACCTTTAATTCTTTTTGGTATTCGAAAAAAAGGCGGAACTACTTCAAATATTCGAATAAACCAAACATACCCTTCAACTATTTTTGAGCTTAAAACTACCTCTCTCGTCTAACTATTGAATTACTTCTACCCTAATTTCATTCTTACTCCATATATTCCCCCATTTTTTCAAGAAGCTTTTACACCTTTAGGATTTCGAAGCAATGTCAGAATGCTCTATATGTCCAAGTCGTCAAATTTAGCGCATTGAGATTACAATGACATCTTGCATACCGTGTTTCAAGTAAATTGATAGAGCATTGATTAAAATGTTAAGGGAACAATGCGTGAAATCTTACCATTTTTTGCACATGAACATTTAGAATCCATTATACAGGAATGTCTTATTGGGCTAATATTTTTAGAGAAATTGACAAAGCACAATCCGACTAAGGAATTGGAATTGGCCCAATAGTTACAATCAAAGTGATGATGTCCACTCTACCCCTTAATTCTATGTAAAAATTAGGCAAATGACATAGTATAAGAAAGAAATTACTTCCTTTCCCTACTCTTTCATTAATTACCAAAAATCCCTTTTTTTTAGTGTTTTTCGGATACATAATATAGCAGTGTGGATACTTAATATAGCAGCGCGGATACTTTAATTAATAACGGGCGGATACTTAAATTATTAAGTTATTAGCAGCACGGATACTTAATTAACGGGCGGATGCATAATATAGCAACGCGAATACTTTAATTAATAACGGACGGATACTTAAATTATTAAGTTGTTAACAACACAGATACTTAATTAACGGGCGGATGCATAATATAGCAGCGCGAATATTTTAATTAATAACGAGCGGATACTTAAACTAATAAAGTATCCGGTTAAGTTGAATTGGGGGAAAATAAGGGATTTTTGTATTTTAGTAAAAGAGTAGGGAAATATTGAGAATAGGTAAAGAAGTGTTGTGTATTTAAGTAATTTTTCCTAATTCTATCACCATTGCAATTGAGGCAAACAAACAAACAAATAAATATAATTTACCTAAATCCCGTAATGTAAAGAGCTAATTACATTATTTCTCTATTCTTTTTCAAATTACAAAAATTCCTTAAAATTTATGAATTTCGGATATATCACTAGACTTCTGGATACATAGGTGAGGGATGTATCCGAAAGAGGAGGGATGTATCAGAGAGGGTATAAAACTTCAACTAACATCACGATACATCACTGGACTTCCGGATATATCAGCAAACATCCGGATATATAGGTGAGAGATGTATCCGAGAAGGGATATGAATGTATCTGCGAGAGGAGAGAGATATATCCTAGAGGGGATTTTTGATTTTTTTTTAAATGATAGGAAACTTTGGAGATAATATGAAAATGAAAGAAGCTGGATATTTGTGGCAGTGTATATATGTGTATATTTACTAGAATATCGTGTATTGAATGTATATTCATGAAAATATGTGCGATTGAAATTGTAATTTTATGATTTGGAAAAGTTTTTATTTATGCTAGTTTGAGATATTAATACCATTACCACGTGTTGGTTTAGCCGTCCCACCGACTAAGGGCTATGATTTTATTATGATAGAATTTTAAGTTTATGGATTTTGAATTATTTTAAATGACTATTTTCAATATTAATAACTAGATTCTGAACTTAATATTTATACATAGTTAATGAATTTCTTAATACAAATATATTATTTAAGCAAAATATATTGAGTTCGACTGAATTCATATATGAACTTCTAACTCCGTCCCTGATTTGATTTAACCATCCTACTACATGCTAAGGCCTATGATTTTGTTCAGCCGCCCTATCGCCTAAGGCCTATTGTTGGTGTAGTGGGTGCACACTCTAGAGCCTAAAGTAATAATGTCGATTATGATTGAGTTTTAAATGTAGATGATAGCTTTTACATGAGATCTATATTATCTTTACATGTTAATTATAATTATCTACAATATTGCTATATACAAAATACTTAGTAGGTGCTTATGAGTATTATATTTGGATCGTGACATTAAAGTGTATTTACGTTTTTAATTTTCAAGATTTGAATTAAAAGTCATTAGTTAATCACGAGTGGAGAATCTATCTAGCATATATCTCTTAGTATTATAAGTGGTGAAATTTCAATATCCTGCAAGCCATAAATTTTTAAAAGAAAATATCAAAACTTGACTATTTTAAAAAAATTAAATATTTGTATTATCTAAAGTAAATTCAAAAGAAAAATTGCAAAAACTTGTACTTATCAGTTATCACTATAATTAGTAAAAGTTTCTCGCATAATAAATATGAGTCCGATTCTCACTATTTTTTTTTTGAGTAATTTCCCTGGATAGTCACCCATGTTTGGGAAATTACCTTGAAATATCTCTTATGTTTATTTTAGGACCACAATATCACCTAACTTTACCTCTTTTCCTCAAAATATACCTACACAAAAAAAACATTATCTCTCTCCTAATAGGATGCCATGTCACATTATTCCTTTTTCATTATTAACATTTTTTTTAAAAAAATTTAGACAACCCATAATACCTAGTAAAAAAAAATTACATAGCCCAAAAATTTCTACCCTAGTTCTAGGGAATTAGGCGGCAAATCCAAATATGAGCTCCTCCGATTCTTCAAGAAAATATGTGGCTTCCTCCGATTTTTCAAGCGAGATAATGTTTTTATATGGACACTAATGGGCAATGGCACCTTTTTGTTGAGTCCGGAGTCAAAAGTGTAGCTTTTTTTCTTTAAAAAATAAAAACAGCACATCAAAAAAAAAATTTAACCAAATTGTTCTGACAAAAATTGAAGCCGCTCCGCTAAAAGAAATAAAAATCTCTGCCAATTTTCTCAAAAAAATATTTTTTCTTTAAAATCGCTGCTATAACAACGTTTTTATATTAAAAAACATAAAAGCAAAGTCGCTGCTATTGCAGCGATTTTGTTTAAGAAATTAAAAAAAAAAGTTCTGAAGTTAAATCGCTGCTATAGCAGCAATTTGTTTAAGAAATTATTTTTTTTAAAAAAAATTCTACCCTTGCATAGAATTTAATAAAAATTAAAAAAATAAATAAAACTGAAGCCAGCGATTTTCATAAAAAGCTTTTTATTTAAAAATCTTTACCCTTTCAGCGATTTAAATGAAAATTAAAAAAAAAAAAAACTAAAAATCGCTGCTTCGGCATCGATTTTTTCTTTAAAAAACTTATTTTTTTTTTTAATGGCTGCTGCCGGAAATTTATGTAATTTAAAACTTGTTCTTTATGTGTTTTTTTTTAATTCCTTACCAAAAAATCGCTGCTATAGCAGCGATTTTAAAGAAATAATAAAAAAATTTTTGAGAAAATCGCTGCCAAATGCAGCAATTTTTATTTCTTTTAACGGAACGGCGTCAATTTTTGTTAAAAGAAAATCGATCCATCAGGAGGGATTTTGCCCTTTTGATTAAATTTTTTTTTGATTAGCCCTTTTTGTTTTTTGAAGGAAAAATATGACCCTTTTAGCTTCGGACTCCCGTTTTGTTGATATTTTAATTCATTAGAGTAATAAGGTAACCATATTGTCAAACTACAAAGGATATAATGTTTTTAAAGAATTTTAAAAAATCTTAATAATGAAAAAGGAATTAAAAAAATGTTAATAATAAAAAAGGAATAATGTGACATGGCATCCTATTAGGAGAGAGAT